TCTTCTCCTGATTGCTTGTGATATACATGTTTCATGTGAGAATGGTATACTTATATAATTTAGATCGGTTTGATTAAATACATGTACAGAAAACTACGGTTATAACGAACTAAAATGGACCACCAATGTTAGTTCGTTATAACCGTAGTTCGTTATAGGCACATGTAGCCTATATACAGCAAATGGACCGGACCCAAAAAACAGTTCGTAATATCCGTCAGTTCGGTACAAGCGTGTTCGTTATAAACGTAGTTTACTCTACATAAATTATATCGCAGCACACGGCCTTTGTAAAGGCTTATGGCCTTTGTGAAGGCTCATGGCCTTAGTATCGTTGGAACTCCCTCCCGTGAATAGCCGGGTTAGAATTGGCCTTCAGCTACCCATACATGTCCTAGGAGGCAACTAACGATATCGGGTGGTCAGGCTCGTTGACTTGGTTGATGCATGTCATCGTACCCAATCCCAACAAACAAAGATAACACGCTTTAACGAGCCTGATAAACTCTTCAATGCTCACAAACCATGTCCGTAGCCGTGGCATTGTTTTCTATGGATTTAAATATCCTGTCACTTTATAGTGAAATTGATTGATTTGAATTGTCACTATAAATTGATCGTAATTAATCATTTGAAATTGGTTTTGTTTGTTTAATAATTTATGGGTGATGATCCCTTTGATGGTAGGGCTTCTATTGTGTTCCCGTTCCTGGCGTAAAGTATAGATGCCTTAATGCTGCCACGTTTCGGATTCTACCTAACAGGTCCATATAGTGAACAAAAAAACTTACAGATCATGAATTTGTTTTTGAATATATTTTTTTAAATGAAGACTGAGAACACACTTTCATAAAAATCTCTCCTAAGTATTCATGATCTCTAACGGATTTTTCAGTTTTCTTGAGCTGAAGAGAGTGGATGAGTATGCTTTTTACCATTACTCCAGTATTATCATGGCGCGGGACACCAAGAATTGGCTTCACTCATTGTCCCCATGCGGAACGGCCCGCATAGCCAATGCTTTAACTACCGGGTTACCCATCGCCCCTAGCAACACAATAATAGTACCGTGTACAGTTTTACTAAGTTTGAACACCAGTGACATTAGAAGATGTATAATGTTGTCACTACGTGGTCGTTTCCTAATTGCGAAGATCGATGCTCATGATATAAATCACGGGATTGTCTAGTCCACACCCGATTATTTACAGACCGCCGTCATATATCAACCAGCCAGCCAACCAACAAACAAGCAACAACTAATAAGCTGCTCCGGTGATATTCTGGAGCAAGTAGGTCCATGTGTTTAAAGCCAGAAGGATTAAACCTAAAATCTGCCTTATTTGGCGAAGAATGGTTTAAAACTTTAATAAAAACGAAAAAATCTAAATGTCCAGCAACATATATATGTTCACAATGTTTATAGTCATTTACATATTTAATGGCAAACTTTTACAGCACATAGATTTTCGTTTTTCTCTCAAAAGCGACACGACACTTTGATACTCATACGTTAATTTAATGTAATTTGTTTAATATCTTCAACTTTGTACTACTTCATGTGACGAAGATTGTTTCGTTAATTGAGAACAGAAGCGACCCGATATCGAAAACACAAACCAATACATAAATGCATCTTACCGGTAAACAGTCGGTGCTAAACTCATGGAGAACCTCCTGCTTGTGTAATACGAGAAAAATACCCCACATTTGTTTATATAACGGACTTACTTGATTCACGTGACCTTCATGTATTAATCTTAATCATATGCCCTTGGCAGTTGGACAATCACACAACCCTTGTACACTAGCTATTGCCAAATGATCCATTTACATTACATGTCTCACAGGTAGGAAGGCGACGGAGTATACACACAAAGATTATGTCATAGGGTTTTGTCACGAAAGCTGTTCATAGCCGTACAATATATAATCTCCTTGGCGGTGAGAGAGATTTCGTTTGTTTGTCGTTAACACAGCCAGCTTCCTTGAGTCACGTGACTTTGCAGCGTTAGGCAACAAACATTTTTTCTACGTTCTTTGTGTGAGTGTTGCTATCGGTCGAGTAGGACATGCTTACTTTTTATGCGAACACCTGGTGTCATCTCTGATTATTAGTGATCCACTCATATTATTTGTACCACTATTTTCCCTTTTTCTCCCATTGGAATCTGTTTCGGGAGAAAGTCGAGACCGATTATTCTTTGACGTTGAACTTTTACATTTCAGTCATTGACTGTGTTCACAGACTGCAAAATAAAACGTCAACGTCAAAGAATAATCAGTTGACGTTGAACTTTTACATTTCAGTCATTGACTGTGTTCACAGACTGCAAAATAAAACGTCAACGTCAAAGAATAATCAGTCGACGTTGAACTTTTACATTTCAGTCATTGACTGTGTTCACAGACTGCAAAATAAAACGTCAACGTCAAAGAATAATCAGTCGACGTTGAACTTTTACATTTCAGTCATTGACTGTGTTCACAGACTGCAAAA